CTGGTAAATACGGCCAGCTGGCTTAGTCACAGGCTTAAATAACAATCTCAAGGGCAGGGTCGTATAAAATAATGGTCAACAGGACTGTGATGTTCTTGTACGATAACGCGGGCATGCCTACATCTATTGTACATAACATACAAGGCAGCCTATGATACACAAGTACTGGTATTGTACCACAAAAATCATTTACGTATGGGTACAAATACTGGTACTGTAGCCTAATAGACTTAAACGCAAGTATATTATAACTTAAAACTTGTTGTTCCTGCCATGAAATTTATCACAGGAAAAAGATGAAAACATTGTATAGGCATTGAAATCAGCACAATCTTTTATACAATATATCCTTATGAAAGCATGGGTTCCCTACATAAGATACCTGGTCTAAATAAATATTTATGTTTCTGTCATCATTGAAGACCACAGGGTGAAATGTCATCAGGACTTTGCCCAGGAAGGAAAAGATATCCTCATCATGTGAAAGGACATTCTTTACAGGCTTTGTGGGAGGTGCCACGGGCGCTTAATTCATCCTTGACGTAGGTCACACAGGAGATTATATTCCATGTTTCCGTTAGTGTTGGGCTGGAACAAAGGTGGCACAACCTGCCCCAGTGTCAAGGCCAGGTCATGTGTGCTGCTCAAATACAAAGGGTACACTTCACCTGTCAGAGCCCCATTCACGTGTCTCCTGGGAATTATGCGCAAGTGGAAAAAAACACCTTACTTGGCAGCTCAACTTGAAGCCAGAGTAAAGCAACTTGAAGCAAGGTTTACTCGGAAGAAAGAGGATGTTTGTGTTACCTGACCAGTTTCATGAATGAAATGTTTTACTTTATGGTAGCCTCATTTGAACTTAGACCCAGATCATAGTCTCATTTGAACTTAGACCCAGTGGTCAGTGGCTATGTGGTTGTAGATTTGTTGATACGCATAGCATAGTATATGTCGCAATACAGAGGTTACATAGTTGTCTTGCTAAGGTAGCAGTCAAATATTGAACAATACAGAATTTTACATGTTTTTGTTTCGTATTCCCACACGTCACACCCAATTTGTTTGTCAATGAATAATCATGGCTTTGTCTAAAAAAAAAACACAACAGGATAATCCATATGGAGTTAAAAGTCCATAAGAACAAAGGCATGTCATCAAAATTTGATTTTATGTTGATTAAGGCCAGGACCTGTTGAAACACCTTTGGTCTGAAAACACACAATGGCATTGAAATGGTGATGTGGCAGTGACCTTGTCGTCTTGTTCCCTTTCTTCACCACACTCATTCATGCAGAGCTCCCAGCTTCTGTGCAGGTATGCAGGGCGACTGCCAAACCATATGTCTGCTTCTTCCATAGGAAACAAGTTTTTCCATTGAAAACAAGAATTTGAATTAAGTTTCTTCCTTTCCAAGAACACAAATTACACTTCTTTGAATCGGTTTCTTCCTGATTGTAGTTTAGGGTAATATATTTATCTTGTTTTTGTTTAAATTTTGTGTCGTGTGTAAACAAAAGTATTAGGGCAACTTCATTTGTTTAACAAAAGAGCCGTGTAATTGACCTGACACCGAAGGTAGTGAAGTGAGAAGTCGCGCTATTGTCAAACAAACAAACCGCACACAGGGAATGGAGTTGCTTCGGCCCAAGTGCGAGTGTGCACCAACCTCACTGTCATGCCAGGGGCCCAACCCACAGGTGACCAACCACGCAGCTATTTGATACAAAAGCATGCGAGGTGGGCACAGTACATGGTACATTCTGTGAGACCAACCGAAGCAGGGTGGTAGACCAACCTAGTTTTCTTGCCTAGTCTGTTATGTAGAATACCACAACATGGCAGACCTAGACACCTCAACCCTCCCCGTGATTGTTGACTCCTTTTCTGCATATGACTTTCCAAACTTTGGGCTCTTCAAGTTTGGAGGTATGTATTTAGATAAGTTGTTTTTTTCAGGCCCGGTAGAATTTGTGTACGCATAAGCTGTAGTTCAGGTTTCTCTCGTGCAGGCTTAAGTACCACAATCTTAGTTATTGTGATGCATTTTGAAGGTAAATTATGTCTGCATTATTTAATTTCTTCGTAGACTAATTCAAAAATAGAAAGGCCTTTTCAACATGTCGGCTATCAACAATACCAGTTACTGTTGTATTTTGTGTTTTAGGGATAAAGCATATCACACTTATCACATGTTTCAGCTGAGATATACTGTGCATGTACATGTATTTGTAAAGGAAGAGGTATTTAAAGCAGGTTAAACTTGAAGTGCATGGTGTGTGTAGTAGCAGGATATTATTTGTCGTGCCACGAGTTGTCTTTTTGTCAGCATGTTTGCAAACTTGTCTTTGCACAATTAATCACTAACTTCAAGATAATACATCATACCGTACAGGATTATTTATTGCTACTTTGTATACATAAATTATCAACCTATTTTTTACAAGCTAGAAGGCTTGTATGTCATCCATAGTTGAAATGTCCTAGGAGTGTTACTTTTTCACTTGATAGTTTTAATATACCATAACTCCTTGCACTGTTTTGGTGAAAACAAGTTAGTGTTCCTGTTTGTGGTGAAAAACAGGATCTTACACTTTTAATAGAAAAAACAAGGGTAGTTGCTGTCTTGAATGTTGGAATATTTAATATATCGGTCGAAGTCATGTCTACGTACTTTAATACCTGGCCGCAGGCATGCGCCTCTGTGTACGTTCCCTCACAGTCACACACTGACATGCGCAAATCTGCGCACGGAGTCAAGACCGCACATGCGGTGTATGTACCTTACCCATGCTTATCACGTAGCTTTTGATCAGCACGTAACAACACAGGGCGGCCCCCTGTAACATTACTTAAGGGCACCATGACCCTGTGGGTAGGCTAACTTAAGAATTACAGTCACGTGTCTTGTACTGGGAATCAGGAAATTAACTGGGAAAAACTTGCGTAAAACAGTCATGACAGAAAACAATGGGAACAAATACAGAAAATGAAGTTGTGCTCTTGTGGGAAGTTACTTTAAGTCCAATTTCAACTCCATTTTGTAGTGCTCCCTTTCTTTCACAGTGGGCCTCCATTAAGTTACAATTCAGGTAGCGCTGCGGTGCACAATGTTATGTTTTGACTGTTGACAAAACCGGCAGAAAACCCTGAGTTCCGTGTGTACATCCTGTGCATGGGGATAATAAAATAAAGTACGCGTGTCATATGCCAATAATTCATGGTTGGAAAAAGTATGGAAGAAGAGTTCATCTGCAGAAAGAGGAAAAAATTATGGCGTTAACAAGAACATTTACTCTGTTCTCACGTATCCATACCTTATGATAGAGAAATAAAAAGCTGTTTTATTATACACTGTTGCTACAAATAACATGGAAATAGGTAGATAGCTTATGCATGCAGTATGAGTTGTTAACATGATAGAAAACTGTAAAATTTTTTCATGATAGTGAAACTAGAAATGAATAGATACCAAATCAACCCAATGCCTGGTTAAGCTGCGAAAGGTTTCACTCACTCACTCACTCACTCACTCACTCACTCACTCACTCACTCACTCACTCACTCACTCACTCACTCACTCACTCACTCACTCACTCACTCACTCACTCACTCACTCACTCACTCACTCACTCACTCACTCACTCACTCACTCACTCACTCACTCACTTCACAAAATGACTGTCCCAGTCATAGTAGCAGCTGAATGCATCTCCTGAGCATTGTAAGATATGGTTCACACAACATGCAAAACTATGGTTGCATCCTATATCCTTGAATGTCCTGTTGTAAAATATTGTGTTCTCTTTGTCCATCTACACCTCCATATGTGGTTATGCTGAGGATGGTTTGTGTCACTTAGCTGAATTCGTGCTTAGTCCAGTGTTCATTTATATATGAGAATAACTCGCGTTGCTCACCAAAAAAAAAATAACGCCGCCGCCCTACAAGTCTGCGAAGAAGGCTTACTTAGTCCAGTGTTCATTAGAATTTAGAGATACATGTAGGTATGCAGGAAAAGTAGTCCTGCTTTTTCAAGTATGCTAGTAATGGCTTGAAGTCAGGCATCAACAGCATGCCCAGACTGAAAAATTTAATGAAAAATTACATCTCTTTCTATTACTAGCAGTAGTGGTATTTAACTTATTTTTCTAAGAGCATTTCTCAGAATCCTCAATTTTATTTAATATGTAGGTTTCTTATGAACTGATTGTTAAACATCAAGAGTGGCCTAAGGACAAGGTTTTTCTTGTTACTTTGTTGAATATTGAAAAACGTTGATCTGTGTTACTTGTTGGTAACAGCTTTTTATAAGAAAACAACAGGCATTTGATGGGTGAAAATTAGAAAATCAGCCTCACCACCAATACTCACAGTAACGCCAAACTTACAGTTTTATTCAGAAAATCAGCCTTGCCGTATGAACAAGCTGAATAAAACTGATTTGTACAATCATGTGGTAAATAAGAATCAACAATTACATACAAAACAGAGCAAAACACAAGCAAAGCTGTACAGAATGCCTCAATATGGGCACTAGAGTAAATACGTCCTAGAACAGTCAAACTTGACTGAAAGTTTTCATCATTCAGAAGAAAAAAGAAATGAAATCAAGTGATGACACGAACAGCCTTCTTACTTCTGTGCTATTTCTTTGATCTGTCACTTCTTTTGTAGGGAAAACCAAACTGAAAATTGACACAAGCAACAAGACAAGTTCAAGATGCAGAAGTCCTCTTTAGAAAGAGGTAACTAACTGTGTAACAAGTTAACAACAGGGACATGTGGAGTCTTTCAATTTTGCCAAGTTAGTAAAATAATGCAAGCCGGGTGCAACAGCCCATCTCAATGGGCTATAGAGAAAGGTATCATGTTAGTAAACTCTATTATAAATGTAGAACCTGGGCCATACAGGAGAGTGCAAAGAGTTGTTTGTGAAGTGCAAAGAACAAGACTGTGTGAAATAAGTTTTAAATCGTTTTTTGTTTTGTCCTTTTCTACAGTCCCTGTCATGGACGGGAACTCATGGAACCTTCCAGTGACGCCTGACAGTAAGTCCCTCCAGTTGTCCATCAGGACCATTTTTTATTTCCTCTATCTAGTACTGTAGGCATTCTGTCAAAACATCTCAACAGGATATAGGAGAGAAATCCTGTTTGCACTGGTGTTGCTGTTTTTGATACAATAACATGTTGTTGGTTATTCGGGAAAGGGGATGTCAGCTCTGTAACCACCTGTTGAATATAGCAAATTCAGTATAGCCTGATGTTCTTTTTTTCTCTAGGGCTTTGACTGTACCATCCTGTACTGGATGATACAGTCAAACGGATAAATTGTTCTAAACAACATGAGTATTTATCAAAATACCACCAGGTTGAACTTTTCACAAGGAAATATTCACACATTTTTGCGAATCATATTTTTATCATAAGAACTGTCCCGACCTTGATCTTTTCCCAGCAAAATTGTGCTCTAACCTTTTGAAATTAATGAGAGGCAGGAATTGTTATAGCATGTATAACTGCCTTTCTTTTGCCCTTCGGCACAACGTACCAGTGTTAACGCTGTGAACTACAGATGAACCCAGAGGAAGGGATGGGTGAGGGTGGGTGGGAAGTTGTATATCTATCTGTCAGTAGCTGAAATTCAGTTTTTAACGTTATATTGTACATAGGGTATGTTCTGTATCACACCAACTTTGTATCGGTTTGTTGGGGACTTCAGAAGCCAAAGGATATTATTAAGAAGAATGCGGTAAAATCTAACAGGTGTTTGTAGAGGTATGGTATAAGTACCAAGTTGTATTGTGGCATAAAGATAAGATTAGATTTGGCTACCAATTTTCTGTGGAGGCATTCATTATAAAGATCAGGACTTCAAGGTCAGTATGATGGCACTTTCTTAATGTGAAATTAAAGATAAAATGTGTATCTTCTCATGAGAACTGGACTAAAAGGGAAGAAGTTCTGTGCCTCCCATAGTTCGTCTCTTCCATAAATGGGACAACCGTATATGACATTGAATAGATATCTTTACCTGGTCCCACCCTGTATTCTTTACAACATGTGCCTGTGTTCATGCTGCACTGAGCACAGAAGGGTGCAGGGGTCATCAGTAGATCTGGTTTGGCAAGTTTTTTGTACAAATCTTGACCCAAGGCATTGACTGCTGTCTCAGACTCTCAAAGAAAATGGGTGTAGTGTGCAGTGAGGAGATGTCTTTTTTTTTTAAACCAGCGATGCTCCTCAGGATTTAGATGCTAAAGTTCCTCGTGAGCAGTATAGAGTCAAAATCTACTACATTTTTGCGCCACATGATTCTGTTTTTTTTTTTGTTAAAGACCCATTTTCTGGCCAATTAAACATTTGTGAAGAGTGTGAATTGGCAGTTGAAGATATTTATGTGGTTCACGTGACTGGGCTCTAACTAAAGTCACTCAATATTTTGAAGCAAATTGAAAAGAAAATTGAATCTAAAAACTTATTTTTAGAATTGTTACAACCTCTCTGACATGAATCAGGGTCTCGGTATTGGTAGAATTGGATGTGTTAAAGAGACAGAGACATGAGGTGGGTGAGGCTACCTATTCATGCATCTGTATGAATTGTATGAAAAAATAATAGTATGTAGGTGAGAACCGCACGAAAAATGTACTTGTATGCAAACCAGTGTCACGTGACAAGACGTCACGTGAGTGGGATATCCAAGATCGCAACACCAGGGGGATTAGTCATTTTGTTGTTAAACAGGAATGGTGTGTAAGTCAACATATCATTAGCAAAAACACTAAGAAACATGTACTACCTTCTCACACTGCCTTAAAAATTTGTACGAATTTCATAAGGGCACCCCTGTAGATAGGGTGTACGTGCACTGCCACGTGTGCACGTGACTTATGCAGTACGTGCAATATGTCAAAATGACAATGTCTGACAGATCCTTGAAAGTGTTAATTTTCCAGACAACAGCCATTGTCAGTGTGCTATAGAGCAGAAAATTGTAAGCATTTAGCTTGAAATTAAAGGTTGATGCGAGGTTATGATAGTACAATGACCTACAATGGAAACCTTGTAAAACTTGGTAATATCTGCTAAGTAATTCTCCACTGATGCCTGCGGTTGATTGAATTCACAAGTACCAGTAATTATAAGGCTTTGTAGCAAAATCATGGGGATGTTTATGTTAACGTTGTGAACTTGGCATGCATAACTACAGTTGGACGAAATGTCACTGACATGATGTCACAAATAATTTTGCCTCAAACTGGTTCTTCATGTTACATTTGGCCATTCCAATTTGTACCCGTCCAACCCGAACGGGGGATTCAGGTGCATTCAGAGGCAATTTTTTTTACAGCCTCATTTTTACAGAGGTTGTTATTACATGTACCTGGAACTTTCATTTACCAAGTGTAACATGTAAATTTGCAACATGAATGCAGGTATTGTTGTAGTGATTACGTGCAGTCTATCACTACTAGTGTTGATATTAGAACTGTGATTGCTCTAGTTACATATGGAACCACGTGGCTTTTGAAATGCCGCGGCACGTTCACCATGGAACGCAGAGAACGTAAGGAAAGTATTTTACTTGGCATGCGCATTTCTTGGCAGGAGGCCATGTTGACTAAAACTTGTAGTCATTGGCCTTGGCTTCATGCATTTTTGCCCCCTCCCAGAATACTGCTGTGTA